ACTTTCAAGGGAGAAATTGACATGTTTGGAAGGATATTTGGATTCCACATTACAGATTTTAAAGGAGAAAGAGGCAAGAGCAACTACTGGGTGGTAATGATTACACGATTACTAGAAAAAAGTGTAAGCATACAAAGGCACAGGAGATTCTTTCTTTTTTTGGAACTTTGTATATGTAGTTTTTCAGTATAGGCCATGGTTTCTTTCTAGGAAGTTCGTAGTTTCTCAATTTCAGAAACGGCCTTGGTTTTGACCCATGATCAAGGTGTATAGGATAACGGGGGAAGATGATTTACTGAAGTCGTATCATTTTTTAGCCCAATGTGGGACAATTCTTGTTGAAACGAAGGGAAAAAATAACTTCAGAGTGTGGTAGCAGTAACGCATTGTACCGCTTCTTTCATTGTTTTGCAAATTTTGTGTTCTTATTTCAAAAAATATGTCTTCAAATCTTGATGCTGTTTTAAAATTATTTTTTAGATTTTTAACATATAAATCTCAAATTATATTTTTTGAAAAAAAATTGTGAAAAAAAAGTTGGTATTGCACTACACCATATCTTTGGGATGTATGCTTTTGAAATTTTAAAACGTCAAAGAGAAATTTTAAGCTAAATTTAAAGTTTACATAACAAAGAATGAAAAAAACAAACAATTTGTAATATCCAATAGCTCAAATGTTTCATTCTTATTCTCTTTATCTTCCACACTTGATTTTGCTATAACTTTCCTTTCAAACCTTATTTAAAGATAATTATTTCAATATTAATTAATTTTAATATATATTAAAATTAATTTAAATAAGTCAATAAATGTCATTAACCTATCCGTAAGTTCTTCAATCATAATATAATAAAACACCGTTATGAAATAGGTGTAAGGAACTGTAAAACTTAGCAATGGAGAGTCTTTTATCATTAACAATTAAAAATTTTCTCTTTATCATGCTTCCGATGCAGACTTCTCGTTCAATATATATATATATATATATATATATATATATATATACATGTATGTATGTGAATAACTAACTTTAATTAGTGTTATTAAAGTAATAATGTTGTAGTAACTTTGGATAGAATAAGAGATTTTCGTCTCTAAAAGCTAATGGATCTTAAAGACCACCAGTAATCTTAATTTTATCTCTCTTTTTTAATAAATTACAAAGAGAGATATTTTATTCAACAAAAATAATTAAGATTGATTGATTGAATAAAAAATAAAAAAATATGTTTACCTTAATAACAGAAGTGAATGAATACACTAAAATAGGAAGTCAATTTTTTTTGGAGCTCATTGATAACATATTTTATATGAACTTTTCTCATAGAAAAAGGAGAGAAAATAATTTACAAAAGTGAAAAAAAAAACAATAAAAAAATATGATAAATATTTTAAAAAAATTAGGTACTAAAGTTTAAAATAACAACACAAAAGGGAATATAGCATAAGAAGAAGGGTGACTTATCATCCCTAAGACACAAGGCCTAGGTTGATTTAAGAGGTCCAACATAAACGGAAGCTAATAAGTAAGCATAAATGGCTTCCTCCACCCTTTTAACACGTGGCTTTCTTGAGATTTGATTATTTTTTGTGAGTCATACAAATACACATTTCTCTAACTTCTTCTATTTCTTTAAAAGAGATGAAACTATATGGTAGAACTAGATAATCGTATGTTTTTTTTCCTATTTAAGACCCAAATAATCTTAGTTAATCTTTTATGAAACCAAGTGGTCTAAAACTTCATTAAGTAACAAGAGATTTTGACTTCAATTTCACAATCATTCTTATCTTATACATCATGTCAAACGATCTCATTAACTAAAGTTTTCTCTACTTGCCCAATTTGATGAAATTATTTTGACTATTTGGGAAGAACTTTTTTTAATAAATATACCGTACCATTATATTGTTTCTATAAAACAACTTGAGCATTAGATTTATTGCAACAATTACAACTTTAACTTATACTTCTCCTATATTTTTTTTTATGAGTTTTAGAGAAGATCCCTGTTTTAAAAATTATTCTTAATAAATATAATATATAATATATAATAATGTATTTCATGATATTTTCCTTGTGGCATAAACATGCATATAAGATGAGGGATAATTTCAACATAAATTATCGTCTAAACTCAACTAACAAAAGAAGAAAATAATGATTCTTAACCATACATTACCCCAAAAAGAAAAATTAGGAAAAGGTGCTGGAATTTTAATCCCAATTTGTTTGCAAAAATAGATGAACCATTTGTCT